AGATTAATATGTATCAAAAATTTCTATTTTTTAAAAAATGTCTCAGAACCCCATTTTCCTAGCAAACTTCCCATATTGTTTTTTATCTAAGCAAGAACAGTCAAAACAAATAAATCATATTCTCAGAAATCTAGGATAACAATTGCAAGAAATTTGAGCTAGGTCACAGAATGATAATCAAATACTAATATAAGCTCTAAATAATGAAGCAAATGAGCATCAGGTATAGTAGCTTAGGACTCAGAGATCAGAAAGGTATAACCATATATTATTGCAAGAAAAGGTAGGCCTTTAGCTAATAAATTGAAGACACAAAGCTAAGGCTGACTTGGCAGAATTGAATTAAACCTGGGTATTTAATCAATATTAAAATGATAGACTAGGGAAATAAATTTCCAGCAAATTATTTTAAATCTACAAAATAATCTGCTTATTAATCTATCAAACATGATAGAAGCTAAACATCAACCAATATATAATACAATAGCAACTATTTTTGCTAAATATATTAGGCAGGAATCTTCTGATGAGTACTTAGATAAAATTTGGAATTCTATATCACATTTAGAGCCAAATATAATAGCACTTGAAAATGCTAATGTGGAGAACTTTGATGATACAATTACTACTATGAATTCATGGTTTTCTTTATGAATAAAATGATATAAATTATTAGTAAGACTACTACATTTTTCTATCTCTGCACTCACTAAGATCTGCTCGATGGCTTCTGTTAATGACAAACCTCTACCTATTGAACTTATTACCAAGTCCATGTCTTCTTTTTCACTTTCAAAGGGGTAAGACGCTTCTTTATTTACCTGATAAATATTCTAATACGCTAGTATAGAATCCCTTTTCTTTAGAAATATTATTATGCTGAACTGACCAGGCATGTTGGGGATTGTCATTAAATAGAAACTCTATCTTATGAAGCTTTTTGTTGCTTTGTTCTACAGATACAGCATGCTCTTGAAATAAAATGATTTTGTCAGGTGAGAGGTTGTATGTTATGATAAGACTCAAATATAATGATGCGAAATCTAAGCCAATTACAAGACATCTATTTTTGAGACCTTTTACTGGTAGGAAAACATAAGCTCCAGAATATTTTCCAGTTTCTGTTTGTTATCTTGAAATTATACTGGTTAGGATTCCCCTTTACTATGCACTAGTACTTAAAAGATTGCAAACCTTCATACTTCCTGCAAAATAATGTGCATCAAATAATGATAAAAAAGCTATGAATACTATCTCTCTATACTCATTAATTGCATTATGCTTTACCATTAACTGCTGGCAACTAAGAGTATCAATGATATAATATTTGGCTATTTTATGCATTTGCTTGACTGTTGTAGTATTTGTTTCTTTTAATAACTTTTCATAATATTTGTTCATACAGTGAATAGGCAAATCTACTTTATTGTTAAGTTTATACTCCTTTAAGTAATATGCTAGGCTACTCTTTTTAGCTTTAGGATAAAATTCCATAAAACAGGACCAGATGTTGATAGCCACATAACCAAGAATTTTAAGATATTTCAAATAAAATTTTTTATCATTTACTTTTATCATATTATCCCATTTTATAATTTTTTTAGGCAAGCCGGTTTGAATGACATATGATTGAACATCCATTTAAGAACCCCTAATTTATTGGCTTTCTTCACAATAAATAATCAGTTATATTGTAAATCATTAAAGCCTATATGTATATCTGGGCTAAAAGTAAGGTTGCTAGATGAAATCAAGAGTTTAGACAGACGTCTAAATGGTAAAAGTAAAACTTGGTTAAATTATATTAAA